TTATAAAATGACTACAAAGAAACACAAAAAGACTACAAAGAGATGCAAAATGCCAGAAACAGACGACACAGCCATGGCATCATTTTGTGTCTTTCTGTTGTTTAGCCCTACAAGAGCCATGTACTTGGACATGGAGATGTGTGGCAATAGAAGAGTTTATGATTATAGGCCAATAACATTGACAAACGGGGGAGCTTTCACAGGAAATGAGGAAAAAGACTAAAAAGGGAAAAATCATGGTAAGATTCTTCCTGCTCTCCCTTTACCCGCAGTGTGAGGTTGAACCTGCAGTGATCTCCCTTTCAGGTTCTTGTTCTCCTGGGCCTGGGTGTAAATACATGGGATTACAACAGGCACTGGCACACTTGCCCGGACTGACGATTGGACAGCGAACTGCCTCGCCGGAGACACAAAAGTGCACTGTTGTATTTCTGTGTCATTACGTATGTACTGATAAATCCCTCAATCTCCCTCCTCAAATCAAAATTGCACCAGTTGCTGGGGACACATACATGAGGACTGCAGGCTTCAAACCGCTGTAATCCCGGCTCAGAGTGGAAAGAGGCTTTGCCGCACATCCATTTGGTATTATTCTAAGAAATAGGCAATTAGAGATACGGCCATAGTCGTAAGTTGGGCAAACTGCATTCCATGGCCCTCCCTTTGGCAGTCTCCGGGGACATATAATATATTTTGGGATGAAGTGTCATCAGGGTAACAATAGGGAGTGAAACAGGAAACAAACCAGTTGTCAGATTGTCATATATAGAGTATGTCAGTGTGCCAAGCTTTAAGGCCTGTTCTGTTGTAATGGGGCAAGGATCAGGGCCCTAAATGGCCCCGTGTTCAAATAATATTTGTAGCTAAAAATAACGCTTGCAACCCTCTCATTTACTACTCTAAATCACTGAGTCACCACAGAAAATCAGCAGTGGCAGCACAGACCCCCCCCCCATTCCAATGGAGCCTTTGAAGCTTGTATGGATTGACCTTGTTAAATAACTTAAGTCCATTGTGGGACCCACCTGGAAAACAAATGAATGTGGTGTGTCCAGGGTAGAGGAGTAATTGTACGACTGCTGGTCAAGAGATCAGGCATAAGGCTTACACACCGCTGGCATGGACAAATGGCCTTTGATAAGGGACGTCTAGCTTCAAGATTAGCTTGTGTGCTAATGTAAATGCATTCACATCTCTCTCACACGCACACACACCACTAAAACACAGTGCTAATGCCAAGAATAAAAATATAGCTTTTTCCACTGCACACGATCTATTTGTTTGGCGCTAGGAACATCTAGAAATAGTACAAACTGGGGTTCAGATTCCCGCTTTGGGGGACCAAGTGTCGACACAATGGCTCAAACCATTCTACTATTGTCCTGGCAAATACACCAACTTCCTAACATTTTGAAGTGGCAGCAGCTTGATCTCATACGGCCTATGAATGGCACCTTTAAGGACATTTTGTGTGTCATGTCTATGTTTTTTTTAAGTTTTTCATCATTGAATCAACCGTCTCTGACAACATTTACGTTCCAATACAAGGAAACTGCATTCTGCATTATGTTTCAAGGGAAACCTATTTACTCAGGGAATATAGTCGCAGTTTTAAACTGTTTTAGACAGTTTAAAACACGTGGTTGTCTGATTGTAGACTGAAACAAAACATGACAAAAAAGGAAATCAAAACAAAACAAAACTACTCTGTTAGGTTTATTAAAAGGAATTTGAAAAATATTTCTGATAGTTCAAAAACAAACATAATCCGTGACAAAATAAACTTAATTCACAATGCAGTTTCGTTGTATGGGAACATACTTTTCAGGAGACGAGGCAACACTTAACAACCGCTTCTCATTCCCAACTCGTCACTATATGTATGCGGGATTGCAGTTTTAAATGCGTGAAATAAAATATAAATAAACTGCTTGGTTGGGTTGTTGAGGAAGAGATGTGGTTTGGGTAAAATAAGTACATTTGTTGTGTAAATTAAGTTAAGTATGTAAATTAATTAGTCAACGTAAATAAGTCAACAGCTGACTTGGTTTCACACGGAATACTAACAGCGGCCTCCTGGGTGAAAGTCACGTGTTTGTTTGACCCAACCACCTGCCCCTTGTTGCTTCCTGTTGTGAGAAGAGACAGGCCGAAACCAGGTGTACGTATGTATATAAACCATAGACTGTCTACGTTACAATACCGTCAATGCTGCATTTAAGCCTGGATGATGTTATTTTGAGTGTTGATGGAGCAGCTACAATGTTTGCATCGCCTAGCACCGATCGATCCCAACTCCACTCTGAAAACAAGCATGACAGACCTACAAAAGCAGGAATTCTTTTCACAAATCGGCATCATTCTGTAGTTACCTCGGCATCTGTTTTCATCCATTTGTTCACAGAGCATCTCCAGACAGGACAGGGCTACGTTTGGTGTCGCGGCGTATCTGTAACTTCCACAATATGTCAGAAGGAGTAACAGTGGTTATTTTGACCACGTTGTTGGTGTCTACATAGAGGTAAGCCCCCCCCCTCTTCTCTGGCACATCTAGCATGAATTACATGAATGAACGGTTAAACACCAGTAATGTGAGGAAACATTAGCTTTGCGTTTGGTGTGAACACAAAGTGCATTACACACATTTACTGGCAAGAGAGAAATAACACTAGAAAAGATTCACTTCTCCCTGTGTGTGTGTCTTGAGTTGACTTGCCTTAGAACAAATGACAGGAGGGCAAATTCATTCACGCAATCAGAATGCAATGCATAATTAGGCACACCGCCTGTTGAACCATATGTAATCAAATTAGCTGATCCAAACATGACTTCTCTGGGACAATCTAAATGGGCTGTTGCCATTGAGAAGCACAGTTCACTATTGTGCAGTAAAGGCTGAGAACAAAAAGATACAACCGCTGATTAGTTTAACAAAAGTAACAATGTTCGCAAATCGCAGGAGGTGCAATGTTTGTTAATGTTGAAATGTTGGTCAAAATACCATTTTAAGTGAAGATTTCACAGCCTACACATCAAATTCTACAGACTAAGAAATGACATGTTTGTTTGGTACAGATGCCCATCACACCATTTATTTCAGAGAAAATGAGAATAATGGTGAAAAACAGAATTATTCCCTTTAACATCGCGATCATACCGCAGTTGAAATTCAAAAATAATGGCAATTAGATATTTTATTTCCCAGTTGATCATCCCTAGTTTGTTTACATGTATTTTATATTTAATACATTTGTTTCATTGTCGACTAATCTGCTGATATTTTTGGATTAATCAATGAATTATTGAATCTATATAACTTTAGAAAACAGTGACTTTTGTCCCACCATTCACGAGAAGGAAACTCAGATTCTCACCATCCAGATTCTAACGGTCACATATTGGTAACCACAACCACTCATCAATCTCTCCTGCTGTCGACAGTCTGATAACGTTCTCCACTGCTCTGATTTTTGACTGAAAAACACCAAACGAGGCCTTGTCGTGTTTGTCGGAGGGACGTTCGCTCGCTTCCTGTAATGCGCTGGCCCTACATCGGGGACCCGAGGAGCGCGCAGCTTTCCTGTTGCCACAGGCTGCTATTCATGGACATTTCCTGCCTGTATCTTGACCGCTCCGTGTTTTCAGGACACACCTGCGAAGCGATTGATGGCGAGTCGCCTGCCGAGGTCAAGGTCAGCCACCGTGCTTGCATTGTCCCGATGTACTGCGAGTGGCCTGTTGTTAAAAAGTCCAGGTTAGTCGGCGGGAGACATTACTAGCAATCCCTCCTTGAAATGCCTAAACCGTAACTCCATCACAGGCCTCTGCGTGGCAGAAGGGTGATACCACCTTAACAATCCAGCCTGGGATCCTGTGTGTCAGCACATGTGATTGTTTTGGCAACAGTGCTGAAAGCACACACACGCTTTCGATTCAATTTCAATTCAGGCAAAAAGGGAAGCTGAAGCTGAAAATGCTTGTGTGTCTCCCCAGGCCAAATGGAAGTCCTCTGTTGGAGCTAATACACCCTCACCTGAAGCAGACGGCGCTCCCTAACTTAAATGGATATCTCCTGTTTCTCCATACGAGAGCGGGATGGTTCGCGAGAGTAAAAACTGAATGTTGGAGGCACTCACGACTGTCACAAAATGTCGATGCTGAGGGTTGAGACAAGAGGAATGATGAGATGATGATTGAAAATTCATGGCCAGAGGAATGCAAACTTCCAGCAATCCCTTCGCGCTATTTTGGGAAAGTGGCTTTTCTGCCAAATCAGAAGCAGGTGCTTCTACCTTTTGAAAAATCACAACAAACTGCATCAATTTGTTCCTGTAAAGTGTAAAATGATGCTCCCCTCTCCATAACGCCGTCAACATTTTTCCCTGATTAATAATTAAAAAAAACTTCTCATTCCTTAAAACATTTGCAAAACGCTTGTGCGGCTGTACCGTGCCCCAATTTCTACATCACAGAGATGTCTGCTTACAGTACACCTACCAGTGCAAGTAGGAGTTTAATACATTGCTAGAGAGAGTGACGGCTGGGCCAATGCTGCAGCGGCTATAAAGGGATTATTGTTCCCTGGAAGACATAATCATGTGTAACACACTTGTTTCAAATCCTGTGAAAAAACAAAACAAACAGGTGTTTCTGCTTGAAATTCCTCCCGGCACACATACGGGACAGAACCCCAGAAACAGACCTTAGATCAGTTATTGGGGCTGTGGAGAGTGGAGTCAGGGTGGTTTCAATACCATTCAGCTATGAGGAATACCCTTCACATATTCAAGAATGGAATGTCTAAAAACATGTTGCAAACACTCACAGGAGATAGACTATTGCTTTGATACACTAACGTTAAATGAAAATGTGTTGACTGAGTGTCAGCTTGACACTAGACCAGTTTTAGGTCCAATGTGTTATCATTATTCAGAATATCGGATACAGACTATGTATGAGAAGTGTATTTGTTGTTGTATGAGGATGAGCTGTGCACTGACCTGAGAGCCCCCACAGCAAGGTGAACGAGAGCAGAGGAAGTTTCCTCGAAGTACTGCCGACCTCCATGGTGGACGCGGCGTTCACGTCCTTCGCCCGGCTCTATATGTGAGCTCTGTGTCGCCTCGGGCAAAGCTCCTCCAAGTCTGCCAAGTGGCTTCCCGTCAATCTCCCCGCAGAGACGTTAGCCGGGGAAGGTGAGGGGGGCCACTCCTCCGGGGTGAGGAAATGTGGGGAGCCGCAGGAACTCCTCTTCGCTGACTTTGCGGTGAGGTGGTAATGAGGTGGTAATAAAGTGTAAATTGTATCACTGCCTCCGACACCAAAGGTATTGCGCGGCACTTGTCCTCCGCTCAACGCTCGGCTGCATCCGCACTTCCCTCCGTCTCGAGACGGCAGCGAGTAGCTACAACTCCGTAAGTTGTCGCCTTTTGTCATTCAGAGAGAGAGAGGGAGAGAGAGGGGGAGAGAGAGAGGGAGAGAGAGACAGAGAGAGAGGGAGAGAGAGGGAGGGAAAGAGACAGAGAGGGAGGGAGAGAGAGAGGGAGAGAGATAGAGAGAGGGCGAGAGAGAGAGGGAGGGAGAGAGGGATGGAGAGAGAGAGAGCAAGAAAGAGAGAGAGAGAGAGAGAGAGAGAGAGGGAGAGGGAGAGAGAGAGATAGCCGTACTCTCCACCTTGCACCTTGTATCAATTTTGCATAATTTAAAGGCTTACTTCCTGTTGTGAGCTTCGAAATAAAACTCTCTTTTTACTTACACGGTTTTATTGAAAGCTTTGCGTGACAGTCTGCTCTTGCTTTGAAAACATGAGCTGACAAACATCCGTTATTTTGCCGCCTATATATTCCAGCTTGACGCATTAGCACCTGTCCTGAGGTTCGTTGAGTGCAGGTGCAAAGGCTATTTTTCATGTGCAATTTTGGATATAATTCTGAATTTGACAATAATGTTAAAGCTCCAAACATGTGATGCAATATGTAGAAATTATAAATATGATTATGTGGTTGGAAACGAGTCATATATCTTTCCCTAATGTTCCTTAAAAACATTAACATAAAAGAAATGTAAAAACACTGTAAAACATAGTTTAAACAAATTATCCAAATATCTTTGTGCATAGATGTTAGAAAAAACATTCATTGTGAAATACAAATACAGATTATTAAATAATTTCCTCAATTTCTATCAAAAAACGTCATACTTCAAATGTCTCACTGCAGACTTGAATGTTTCTCTAAAAAAGAAAAAGGGGCCAAAACGGTGTTTTGTCAAATTCTAGGCATGCGTGTGCTATTCGCCAATTTCAAATACCCTGGCTCAAGCTTTTTCGACAATAAGCCTATTTTCCAAACCCACACAACTAAAGCTCCATCCTTTCCCCAGCCTCCCCTTGAAGATCTTCAGCTCCTGCTCTATCATGTGTGAAGAGGTGTGGGTCTGAAAGCAGAGAAACAGACTGGACTCAGCTTGACGTGAATTCCCAAGGTGCAGCTCACCCCCCGATGTAAAAATATGGACTGACCTGTGCTCTCCGCAGTGGTCAGACCCTTTTATTTCATTTTCTAAGGTTGCCCTGTTGCCTCAGCAACAAGAGTGAGGCTAATGCAGGACGACTGCTCAATTATGAGAGGTGAACAAGGGTTATTCCTGTGATCAAATCCAAAGAAGCAGGGTCCAAGCCTTATGGGGATGAGATTTTGTTGTATTGCTGTAAATTGCATCTGGGCCTCCAGCTGGAATCCACAGCATTCAGGGGACGGCTGTCACAACAGGCCTGCTTTTACTTTGCTGAAAGAATCATTTGAGCAGCACTGGATTCTGGACCACACTGTTAATCCAAACAGATAGTCTGGTCCAATGACGAGCAAACCTGACACCTAGAGGCCAAACATATTGCTTGGTAATTATTCTATATGATATTCAGTGCATCAATGTGCATCAAACAGCTATTATATGTAAAGACATGGTGGAGTCACCCTCCCTCTGTGTGTGTGTTGTTATCTGAGCTTCTCTGAGCTTTATTTAAATAACCGGGCCGGCATGCTCAAGGATGCCGCTCTGCTCTCATAGGGCACTTATAGCCCATAAAGCGTCGTCGTGGAAACGTAGGACCCACCCTCAGGTAAACACTGTTAGCTCAGTCAGCACCGTTACCGTGGTCTGCACTGTTAGCTCCTAGTGGTTGAGAGCCGTTGAGAGCCAATAGAAATCCCCTCCATCTCATATGAAGATCATTTTGGTCTTTTCTAATCTCATGGGGTTGTTCTCAAAAAAAGGGAGAATCTTTAACAAAAAAGTGCAGCAATACACATAAACCATTTCACCTTCATCTTGATTTCTGCAAATATATAGGAAATCCTGAGGAACAGCACTGCATTCATACAAAGAAGATATTACCAAGGTCTCAAGTGCAACACTAGAAACCCACCAACATGCAGTGAACAGTGTTTGCTCTTGTTATTCCTGACAGGCTGCAGAGAGGCAGAGGTGCTGATGTGCAGTGTCCTCCTACTGCTCATGTTTGCTAATTCAACGCAAGCTCTTCTGCCGTGCGGCTGGACCAGCCTCCAGAAACTAGTTGTAGTTTATGTGTCACTCCATCGCTCCACCCTGAGCATTTAGACTTTAAACGGTTGGCTTCTCTCAACATAAACAAGAACAATTTGGGAAATAGTTTGGGTGAAATAGACAGTAGGAGGACACTGGAGTAGAGGATAAACTGGTTTATAGAGCAGAGACATGCTCACTGATCAGAGTCCTGTCCTCCCTCTTCTGGACAGAGACACACAGGCTGCAGCAGAGGACACTGATCACTTCGGGTCATGTTTCCATGTTTCAGAGTTCACCTCTATATTAATGTCTGCAGCTCACAAACAGTATGAGTTTGATCCATGATGCTTTGATGACAAAACAGTAAAGTAGATTATTCCAATGTATATTCTGTTCAAGTTATTACACATCAAATACACAAGTTATAATGGAATATTTATTCACGTTAAGTGTCATTCCGATCATTGTCTCAGAAATATGTTGGGCCTACAGTGTAAATATAATGTAACATTAATTATTAACTGACTGAGTCAGACACTTTGTTCATTACAAAAAGAGCAGCATGCATGTTTTCTATTTGCATAAACTGTGTGACACGTGGTGCGTACATTCCCTTCCCTGGCTCTAATGGCACATGTTTGTTGAAGTCTTGATGAAACAGAAACAGAGAATTGATCTAAAGGCGAGGTTTGTAAAAGCTCAGCGGCATTGCTGTCTCTCTGCACAAACATCACATCCACACGTTGTGTCATTGTGCCCCCCCCCCCCCCAGAGGACCCTTTGAGTTATTAGTCATCTCTCCGCATCGGTCCCCCTGCTTTCTACTTAATCAGGTATTAATGCCTTTCAAAGCCGATCTCTTTACTCCACAGTGAAGGACTTGAAGTCAGTTCCACTCGGCTGTGTGGGGATTTTCAGCAACAGCTCTCTGTGTCCATCTCCTGGTGACATGGGTGAGTTACAGTCCCGAGCGTCACCACGGTCCTCAGCTGCTGCAGCTTCATCCTCTGACATTTCTAATCACAGAGGGATTGATGCTCTGCATCAGGGGTCACCAACCTTTCTCACATGAGGCACCATTTTTTAATTATCTTGTTTATCAGTGTGCTGTATCGACATTAGGTTTTCCATTATGTTTAATTATGACAACACATAAACATGTAATATTATTCTGTCCATATAGGCAACGTGCTCAGCAATGTTTCTTAAAGGTTTTCCTCCCATAATCAGGACATCGTCATTCGATACCAGAAGGTTGACATCCTTATGAAAAGTCCACATCTGAGTTGAGGTAATCAATATGTAATCTTGCAAATTGTGAGTTTTCTGTCTTAAATTTGCCACTTTAATCTTTGAGAACATCAACATTTTTTTCTTCTCATAAATTTACAATTTTGACAATTTACAATTCAGAGTTTTTTCCCATAATATTACCCGGCTCCGTATTATTCTTATTTTCTTTACCAAATGGCCCAATTACGCCCTCAGACATTTGTCATCTTAATATATGAATAAAACGATGATGCTACAGATGTTTGTGGAGCATTTATGCCGCCTTTTTTTGTGAAACATCAGACGTCTTCAGTGTGTCACCTTGGTGAACCTGGACGTTTGTATTGCACCACTACAGGTTTCCATCTGAACATAGAATACTACATGATTGAGGGCAGCATGATGCAGCTGTACATGTATCAGATTCTAATGTGAGCTCAAACAAACACCCAGCAGCCCGTTCTCACCGTGTGTCACATGACAGTGAGCGCTCCATTTATTGTTTTTTCAAACATGTAAACATACAAGACGGTGACTTCAAAACAATCGCATACAAGACGTGGTGTCAACCAATAAAATAGAAAATATCATATTCATCTTCATATACTGTATACCCAAACAAATAAACATTGCAAGTTTGCAAAAGCCGGAATGCTCAAGAACATCGATATTTTTAAATATATATATATATATATATATATATATATATATACACATTATAGATATTTAAGGTAGATTTCATATAGATTCAATATGGACTTCTCCCTTTTCTGATTCTTCTCTACACTAGTCCTCTCCTGGCACATTGCACATAACCTCAGGAATCATATCATAAAGTTGAGTTACAAGTCGAGGATGAGTTTACCCCTGCAGATTAATGTCTGAACCTGACTAGAAGTAGCTCAGTGCTCCAGGCCCGGTGTACACCCATGAGAGGAGTGTGTGTGTTGGTCTCCTGTTACCAATAACCCCAGTGCTGCAGCTCGAGATGCTCCAAAGATCTGCCCACCAATACGTATCACAGAGCGGTGGACACTGGTCCATTCTAAGACGCATCGTGATACTTTCTCTCTCTCTCCCTCCGCAGGCGTTTCACCGAGGGCAGAGCTTTGCACAGAGACGGTGTTCACACACTTGTTACGATTATTAGCTGTTCTGTTTCAACAATGTTGGATTTTTAAAAATGTGCTTGCAGGCTGCAGTTCAAACATGGTGTTGTTCTGTTCACCAAGTCAAATAAGAGCAATGAGTAAGGAAAGCATCGCTCGCCGCTAGGCTAATTCACACGGTGTAAAACCTCAGAGGCATTCAGTGCCGTCTTAGAGCTGCTATGTGAAGTCCTTATTTCTGTAGATTACAGCACACCTGGAATGGCCTGCATAGCAATTTATGCTTAGTCATCTTTCTGTACTGAGGTGGCTCACACAGATGCTGGTTTTTCATTAGACTGTTGTAGTCAGATTTTTTGAAAGCACTTTCTAAATAAAAAGCGAGTTCAGGTTTATCTGACTGCTTGTATTAACTGATGAAGAAGTAGGCATGAGCAGTAGCTCTGAATGTTGAGGATGCGATGCGATGCATCCAATCCAGCGAGTCGCTGACCGGTGAATCAAAATGTAATTGTGAGTAAGATTCACACCTCTAACACACATCGGCTTAATATCAGGGATTTCTCTTCTCTAGCTGATACCATGGCACAAACAACACAAGGAGTAAATGAATTATGCCCTATTCCACAATATCTCACTCTAAATACCACCGAGCTAGTCAGGCATGTGAATGTGCATGAGCGCTATGAAAGACCATGCAACAAAGAGAGTGAGGAGGCCGAGCACACAGCAGCAGGTGGTACAGTGTGCTGTGATGAAGTTTCATTGAATCTTCACAGAGCCCAGTATCAGAAAACGCCTGCGATACAGCTTAACATGTGGGAGGGTATCGGCCGGTACGGGAGCCTGTGCACCGGTCAGGTGCCACGTTATCATACCAACCATCATGACAAAAACAATCCGTGCACAACTTTTTAGTACTGTAACTGTAGTATTATCGCAGCTGCACTTTAACAATTTATTCAAGGAATTGTTATTTATTTCTAGATGTATTTATTGAAATGATTTTTCAGTAGAAAGTGGCTTTCCTTCTCTGTATGTATTTGTTCATGTTTTAGAAAAGGATTAACCTGAGCCAGGCCATACATCAATGATAGCATCATATCACATCCGTAAAACAGAATAATATATGCATCTTTTTCTTTCCAAAGCACTGGTATCGGATCGATACTCTGTATTGGTTGATACGCAAGTGCAGGTATCAGAACATCTCTACAGATAATGAATGATAAGCAGCGTGAGAAAGGTTTCCAATAGTCTGCATTATTTACAGCGCCGTCAGCACACGTGGCGTTATATTTACCGGCTGCACAGAGCCGCTGTGACAGGTCGGCATCAGGCGGCACGTGTGGTTTACTGTGCTGAATTGAAATGGAGAGGAAACCACGCCCAACCGGCGGTTGTGTTAGTGCACCCAGCGTTCCCAGGTATCCGCATTGGTCGATACCACCCGATCTGCATGGAAGCATCCCCAGCTGCAGCCCGGTAACACGTGCAAAAACATAAGGCATAAACCAGCACGCTACCCTTCCATGCTTTTCTGAGTTCAGGTCCGCAGCTCAACAGTCACAGTAAAGGCAGACCGTGGTCCGCTTGCTGCCTTGTTCGCTACATCCTACTGAGGTAGACGGATGCATGCTGCAGTAGTCACCTAGCCAACCCCATGCTCCCTGATGAGGCAATACTTATCTACACTAAACGAGCAGCAGAAACCTTTGTAGTGCACATAAGCCTTAAATAATAAGTACATACTTCTTGGATGTTGCAGCTCTGTAATACTTAAGTTAGCGTTCCCGCATCTCTGAACAATAAATCCACTTTATCGTCACTCTTTTTAGACTTAATGAGGGTCTGATGAGAAATCAGTTCAATAGGCTGCAAAAGACTCCTGCACACATCCATGCGTGGAAGCAGACAGAATCACCTTTCATGTTGCCTCGCTGGCTGGAACGCTTTGCTAATCGTATCTTTAGTCGATACAACAAGCGAAACGCAGAGTGTTGTTACGACGTTTCTTTGTTGTTGTATTTCAAGGGACAGCCGACGGCCGTCTCCAGGCACTCCAGCAGGGAGCCGGCCGAGAGGAAGTCCAGCTCCACCTCGATGAATTTGATGTAAATGGCAAAACGCTGCGATGAGTCCTCGGCCCCGTCCCCGCTCTGATTCGCGATGCCACCGCGGCAGTTCTCCTGCAGGAAACGCGTCACGCCAGAGGGTTCGCCGTGGGCGTAGTGTTTGCCGGAGCCTTGGAAGTGCTGGAAGAGACTCTGCTGTATGGTCCTCTCCTCCGCTATGCCCAGGTAGCAGTAAGTGACTTCACACCTAGTCCTGTCCCACCTCTCCGGACCTTCTCCGTCGGCCTGACTGTGCGCTCCGTTCTCCGACTCGCGGCGAGGCGAGCTGCGGTCTTCGCCGTCGCCCCAGGGAAAGGTGTGAGCGGCATCGTGAAAGGGCGACGCCGCCTCGTAGCCGATGGCGTATAGTCCGTACGCCTTGGGGATGTCCCCAGGAAGGAGGTAGTGGGATGTGCTCTTGCCGCAGCCCGCCGCCCTGGACTGGGAAACAGGGATCCAGTCCACCTCCATGTGGAGCTCCAGGCAGCGCGCCTCGCTGATGGTGATGTCCAGGAACTTGTAGTAGACGTTCTTCCAGTTCATCTTCTGGACCCTGGTCATGACGACGCGGCCCTCGGGCTTCTCTGGGTTGAAGTACTCGCGGAGCCTCTTGCCCAGCGGCACCTGCGAGCTGATTTCGGCATAGTGGTACCGCACGTCCTCGCGCCAGCGCGTGTTGTAGCCCACGCCGAAGATGGCCAGCTTGTTGGACAGGTGCAGCCGAGAAAACTCCGTCCATGTCTGGAAGTGTTCCCATTTCAGCTGCACCGACTCCAGGATGCGCATCACAGTCTGCATCGTCTCCCTTTTCCTGCAGAGAACCCAGGGTACAGAATTATGACGCAGCAATAAATCACTATTACCTTTGTGAAAAGCACAAAAAGCACCTTGTTAACCTCTATGAACTATTCAATGGCCTTTGACACAGTAAATAGGGGCGAAAGTACAAATGTACCACAAAAGAAGGTGGAGATTCCCGAAAGCCCTCATGAGCAGGGTTTAAAAAGCTCTGGGGTGACTTCTAGAGGCCCCAATACATTACTTATAATGCCTTATGATCTGCTTATAGCACTGTATATGTATAGTAATAAGCACTCATACATATTCATAATGCATTATTACAGTAGTCTGAACACATAATAAAGGATTTTATAACAAATTATGAGGTCAAGTATCATAATATTTCATAATTGTTGGTCACTTACTGACAATGTATCTTTGCAAGGATATAGAATTCCCATAGTTGTATCACATTATTATCTTTTCACAGCACATTACAATCACTGTTATTAATAGTATAAAGTGATTGTATAGAACATATTCTCACCACAGCTTTTCTCTCATGCACCTGTCGACCTACTGGTGTGACTAAGTTTGCTCTATTAAGTCAAGTACAAATGACTTTTACAATGTTTTCAGTGTTGTTCTTGCATAGATGTAATGTCACTGACCACTTAGAGTAACTAAGTATCACATTATAATGTTTTATAACGGTGATTAGAATACATCATATAAATGATGGGGTGCTCGAGTCCCCTCGCTCCCCTCTCCAGTCTAAATATATTATATATGTCTAATAAAGGGCCCAAACATAAGCTTTAGAAAAAAACTTTATAGATTATAATGTATTACAACTATGAGAATGATAATAAGGTAGTAATGGTAGTAAGTGACCAGCAATTACGAAGTATTATAATACTTGACCGTATAAGTGTTAAGATTATTGTTATAAAGCATTATGAATATGCGTGAGTGCTTATAACAATAATCATAGAGCGCTATGAGCAGATTATAATGCATTAGAGACAGGAGATGGCTTCTGTGACTCCTCGTGGTAGGAGCGCTGCACATGGAACAGATCTGAAAATGACTAAAATCCAACTAATTTCTATGAATATTTTAAAGCTGAGTTCATCTTTCTTCTATTGTATGTTTATGGACTCAAACCATCCTCATCTGTAACTAACCAGCTTTGGGATAGCAAGTCCTGACCTCAGAACTAACTGGGACACATCCCATCCAGAGGAATTACATTACAGAGTTTCACATGATTCACAACTTACAGCTCATAGCTTTATATCAGACATATTCACTTCACTTTGTTATAGTTGACTTACTGGATCTGTTCTGACAGCTCGATTTGAATCTGCAGAGCTCGGTTTTTAGGCCCCTGGATTTCTTCTAGAGAGAAAAACACACACGCACACACAAGCTTAAACTCAATATTTCCGTGTCTTTCATTGCTATCTGCCCACTCCTTGCTAACACACTCACCAGTCTCCATGTCCCCCTCCTGGAAGGCCGAGTCCAGCACCTGGTTGCACCAGTCCTCCTGGGAGAAGTCTTCCAGGGTGCTGTTGTCAGACTCCATCTCCTGATACAGCCCGCTGCTGTTGATCAGCACCGGGGCACAGCTCTGGGAGTCCCAGCCTCCCTGGCCGAACACCTTCTCCAGCTGCTCTATGGTGTAGCTGCTCTTCCTTTTGCCGATGCCGTGCTCCTTCACGCGGCTGTAGCAGCGCCGCAGCGTCTGTATGTGGTGGTGGGATGAATAGAGGATTCGCTCAGCTGTTTGATGGGACAGTTCTACAGAGTAGTGACTCACAAGGAGTAGAGATATCGCTTCACAGGAAATACATTTTAATGTGAAGGTAATGGGAGGCATTTTTAGAAATGTTGACAATGCTATTTGTGGTTAGCGAACATGATTGACTCAACAGAGTGCTGCAGGGATGATGTATTTTTGTAGGCAAACCAGGAAGTTAGCATCCCAATGGTTCCCTCCTAGACGGCAACCTCCATCTCTGCCAAGTGAAGCATGTGTTAAAGCTGCATTCTCTCTAATGTCCACCAGGGGGCGACTCCTCTGGTTGTATAGAAGTCTATGAGAAAATGACTCCACTTCTCTCTTGATTTATTACCTCAGTAAACATTGTAAACATGAGTTTATGGTCTCAATCTCTAGTTTCAAGTCTTCTTCAATACAGCATGATGTTCATTTTGGAAATGATGGTCCATTTAGAGTCAAACAGACCATAAAGCAGGGGATGCTTTAGGGCGGGGCTACACAGTGATTGACAGGTCGCTGCCACTCCTACAGACTATTTTCCTTCCACAATCAATAGAAGTGTTTCCATTAGATTTTGGATTTCTAGCAGAAAATAATCTGTGTGGCAAACAAATGTTTATATTTGCACGTATTTGTCATCAAGATAATCTCCACATATGAACACCACTTTTATGATTTTTAAAGCGTGATTACAGTCAGCAGAAGTAAAAAGCTAACGTTAGGCTCTAAAGGAACTCCACCACGGTCACATGACTTCACGTCTTCAGCACTAAGCTAAAGGAGGACGAGAGTATAGTGAGGACGTTTTAACAACAGACCTGTTTCAGACGTCTAACCACAAACACATTGACTTGAGATGATGGAACCCAAAGTGTAAAAATGCTGACTCATTTCCTGGATTTTAGGAGTCATTCCTGCAGCACTCTAAACTGTTTTATATTTTCAGCACTTCTTGCAAACAGGAAGTTGTTTAGAAACATCGCAAGGACGAGGTAATGTCAAATTTTATGACATCATCTTAACCTTAACAAAGCTCAATAAAAGGTTCAGAAAACAAGGACTGACATCAATTCCCAAACAGACACATTATTAGGTATGAAAATGGTCTGCTTGTAAAAATAACTTGAGATGAGTAAACTTTACTGGTTTGAAATTTGCCTTGATGAACTAATTCCACACAATATACTACTAATAAAAGCATCAAATACTTTACATAAGATATACAAAATACCATGAGAATAAAAGATAAGTTAAAACAACAGAAGACCTAACCTAAACATGGTAAAATATGCAAAATACCATGAAGACAATCATAAAGTAAAAAGACTAAATGTATCATGAGGTGCCAGTTTACCATTCAAGAGTCAAATAGCCTCAAGAAATACACTTCTGTTAAACTGCTTGGATTTCAAAGAGAGTTGTCTGATCCTGCTCTCAGAGAGACTTTCCTCAAACAGAGAAGCTGCTGGGTGACAACAGTTACTTGACTTAGACAGGTTTGAACACGATGGTGTGTCCACAGATGTGTCACAGCTGCAGCGTCACCTTAAAAGGAGAGCAATGGTGCAGGACCTGCTCTCTGGAGCAGCAGCTCCTCACTGTAGAATGAAGCGTGGTGTCTGGGCTCAGTATATGTGGCTTTAGATGAGAAAACCTGACCTCCTGCAGGACATAATGATCCTTTTGTTACCTCGAATTTTTGCCAACCTGTTGGAATTCAAATTTTAAAGGGACAGTGTGTAGGTTTTAGTGGCATCTAGGGGTTTGTGGCAGGTTGCAACCAATGTAACCCCTCAGCTCAGCCCTCCTGTCCAGGTTTGTAGAGAACTACGGTGGCCTTCAGGTAGGAGAGTTCTCTTTTCAGGATTTTAGTACAACTAGGGGCTACTCTTATCAATACTTGGTTCTTCTGCTAAATCATTGTTTTAAAAAGGTTTATATAATTTTTAAAACAAATAAATCCAGAACAGTATTAGAAGTTATTTATAATTTAGATATATCTAAATATTGTTTCTACAGTTATGTTTACAACATCAATGTCACTATAAAGTCATTAATATCACTAGAAACAAATCTACAATGTCAACAAAATAAATTCAATTTCTGAGAGAAGTTTATGAGGAATAAAGAACATGGACATTAGACAGTATCAGTCATTCCTCTTATCTTATGTCCTTCTATCTTATGTCCTCTGTCCTCCTATCTTATGTCCTCTGTCCTCCTATCTTATGTCCTCTGTCCTCCTATCCTATGTCCTCTGTCCTCCTATTTTATGTCCTTCTATATTATGTCCTCTGTCCTCCTATCTTAAGTCCTCTGTCCTCCTATCTTAAGTCCTCTGTCCTCCTATCTTATGTCCTCTGTCCTCCTATCTTATGTCCTTCTATATTATGTCCTCTGTCCTCCTATCCTCTGTCCTCCTATCTTATGTCCTCTGTCCTCCTACCATCTGTCCTCTGTCCTCCTATCTTATGTCCTCTGTCCTCCTACCATCTGTCCTCCTATCGTAACGTAATAATCGTTTTGTTACTGCTCATTTTTGTCCACGTTATTCAAATTTTGATATTTAAAATACAGTGATGCTGAAAAGGAAAAGACACAAGGCAATGGTGGCAGAATGCATGGACAAGTGATATTAATATGGAATATGTACACAACATATGGCTGTTCCTTCTGATGACACGTGATCTTGATCTGTTACATGGAAGGTGACACTGTGAATGAGTGAATAAATAAAAGCTTTAGTTAAGTCCTGATTTCACCCTGATAGAGCAATGTGGTTGTAAATAAAAAGAACGTCAACAATGATGTTAATTTGAGGATCATCACGATGAAATAACTGAACTAAAAATCCATTGAGGTGTCATAGTTTACATGTTAGTGTGCTGTGTACTTAAAGCACGTCATGACATTATGTCAGGTGAACAACCAGTGACGGTCCTGTCTGAGGATGGAGGATGGAGGGTGGACTGCCTCCTTATTTACCTTCATCCTCTCCCTGCACTGGGATGGGGTCCTCTCGTATCCCAGCTCCGACAGGGCTCTGGACACCCGCTCGTACATGGCGGGCCCGGGGGGCCTTACCGGAGAACACGGTGCCCGCGACCTCCAGCTGCTGCATCCGCGCCTCCGTCAGCCTCTCGTTGCCCCACACCGCGATGAGGGCGTTTGTCTCGGACGGGGTCCACGACATTCCCCGGCAAGCCGTGAAGCTGTTGGAGGAGGATGAGGCCGCCGTCCGGCCCGCGGTCCCCGAGCATACGTTCAGAGGCGAGAAGCGGTTAGGCGTCGAAGGGTTGGAGTGGTATTGATTACTGTCACTCAAATCCTCCGACTCGGGGGATGGCACCTCGGTTTTCGGTATCTTTAACGGCGTCGATATCTCTGGAGAATGCTCTGCTGTACTGGACGCCGCCATGTTGCCTCTGTTGCTAAGGGGAGGGGGAGGGAGGGTGACGTTCGGGGCTGTACGCTGGGAGGCATGGAGGAAAACACGGGGTGGATCCTTGGGGGGAGTCGCAAAGGAGGATCCTGGAAGACTTTGAGTTGCAGGTAAACAAACAAATAAACAAACAAACAACCGACGTCTCGACCAAGTCATCTTCGCGCCCTAACCATGACACCGTGACGGGGCGTGGTTATGAATTTATGACCGCATCAGATGATGTCTCTCCTCCGCCTCCTTTAAAAAATATAATAAAAGATTAAATAATTATAATGAAATAATAGCCTGCTCCAGATATGAGCCCCCTTTTGACTCGAAAATAATGTCACTGCAGAGGTGTGCTGTGTGGCAGCAGACAACCTTGCAGCATGAATGTGCTTGTTTTTATGTTTCAATCATCATCATAAATTACAGTTTTGACTTTTTATTCGATGACTTAATACAGAAAGAGGGTTTAATCTTACAACAGGCCCCTTTTTCACTGCAGATATTTGGAGTTGTCATAGCAGAAGCACAGATGTTTATTTAAACCAGCTGATTTACATTTTGTTTCATATTTATTGTCATTATTATCAACTCAAGATCTTCCTTGTTTCCAGTTTTTTGAAACATTTTGTAAAAAGAAAAAAACAAGTTTAATGATAAAGAGGTAAAAATGAAACATTAAAGTATGGTTTACATTTTGTAATACCTTGTCATTTGCAAGTGCCTTCATCATTTCAAGTGTTGATTGTAAAAAGAAACGCTATTTCTTCGTGCTTAGTGGTGCAAAACATATTGTAGCTAAAAAAATCCTGTTACAGGTATGAGCCCCATATCGAAATTAGCATTTTAGCATTAGAGTGAAAGTGAAAGTGTTTTTCTGAACAATAACTACATTTGCTTTTGATACTTGCTATTTCTTTCTTATAATATTTGAATACTTCTTTGACCACTGTGTGTTATTAATAACATTAAGTAAGCCATGACAGTATAGGCCTAGTATACTCTATAGTGAGAAGTCAAGAAAGCAGTAACGTCAGCATGCAATATGGTAACACGCTTACAGTAATTATTATGTTCACCATTAGCATGTTAGCATGCTAATGCTCAGTTAGGATGATGAGAATGACATTTTGCAGGCATGAAACATACAGGATATTTCAATATATTTATCGTCCACATTGGAGAATTTGGGATATTTGTGTTATTTGTTTTGAACAATGCCAATTGACAAAAAAAAAGTAGAATCTGTAACACTCACAGTGATGTCCCTGCCATCGCTGGGCACTGAATGAGACCTTTTATTGGCTTTTGAGTGTATAATTGGTCATTTGATGGCCCGAGTGATGGACTGTGTCATTGTTTACTTCATGTTTTCCATGACAATATGTGATTGGCTTCCCTCGGGGACTACAAGTCATTCCAGCCTGCTCTGCCATCTGTCCAGTGTTTGGCTGTGTGTGTGTGTGTGTGTGTGTGTGTGTGTGTGTGTGTGTGTGTGTGTGTGTGTGTGGTCAGTGAGGTCCTGACCTGGCCAAAGGGACAGTAGGATTCTTTTTGGATGAGGTCCACACACTAGCTGTCCAATACAGGTCAAAGACAGGAAACAGTGAATGTCTAACCTTTACATGTCAAAGCTGCAGCTGTCAATGAGATGTCATGTCTGCTGTCAGGACGAGATGATATGTGCCTGAAGTATCTCTTCCCATTTACGACTGATTGCTATTGAAGTTAATAAACTTTCTGGAAGTGCGGTGCATGTTTGGATCGAAATGATGATTCTGGGGATATTCTATACATTTCTTATTGCCAATGTCAAAGTCCGCTGAAAAGACCAAAACCAGACAATGAATGAATGTATTGTGTGTGTTTTCAAATATATCTTCTGCCTCTGCGCCATAGAGCTCCAATGTCAATGAGCCCCACTGTTGCACTGTTTGACACGTTTGTTCATGAACACACACACTGTAGTTTATTTTCAGTCAACCACATACACTGTCCTACTGCCCCAAATACTGACCAGAATGTGTAATAATTCGTAGCTGAAAATAGTGCCCTACAAATGTGCTACTTAATGCTTTCTAGGTAGTGTGTTCAGCTGTGTCTTTTTAACTTACACACTAGCAGTATGGTTCTCTGGATGGGAATGTTGATCTGTGTGGTGGTCGGCCGTCCACCTTGATTCAGAAATATCTATAGGCATGGATGTACAGATGTGATTACATGCAACAATAACACTATATATCTGTCTCTATCTGCACACAAATAGTTTGTAGATATATCAGCATAATTACATTATTAATAACAAATAATCTTAATTCAATTCAATTCATTTTTGTATAACCCAAAATCACAAATTACAAATTTGCCTCAGAGGGCTTTACAATCTGTACACATACGACATTCTCTGTCCCGGAACCCTCACATCAGAACAGGAAAAACTCCCCCAAAAAAACCTTTAACAGGGAGAAAAGAGGGAGAGACCTGTGGGAGAGCAACAGAGGAGGGATCCCTCTATCAGGATGGACAGAAGTGTGATAGATGTCATGTGTACAGAATGAACAGCATAACAGAGTTACAACACATTCAATGCATATGACAGAGCCACGGCAGGAGGCAAGACCAGGGTCCAGGTATCACCAGGATCCACAGAAACCTGCGAGGAGAGAAAGCACAGAGACTCTGAGGAAGAAGCAAAGTTAGTAATGTGCATTAATGGTATCGGTAATATAAAATAGTAATGTGAGTAACAATAAAAATTAAATTAGCAGTGGGAGTCAGCAGGGCCATGGCCGGAGGAAGGACCAGGGTCCAGATATAACCAGGATCCATGAGAACCTGTGAGGAGAGAAAGCACAAAGACTCCGGGGGAAGAAGCAAAGTTAGTAATGTGCCCCAACTATAAACCTGAACCAGCGCTAACTATAAACCTGAGCCAGCCCTC